TGGCACTGGCAGGATTATTGCTGTTTCTTCCCACCATTGATTCAATCCGTAATGCACAGTACACATTTTTGGTTGTTGAAAAATAAACTGTAAAATTATACACGCTTCCTCAGATAAAAAAGAAAACTAATGTCTGCATGCGTAGTTAAAATAACATTTTGACGGATAAGAAGTAAAACCGGAACATTTAAATCCTTTTTCTCTTCAGAACGTATATCTCTCTTAACCTTTTTTAAACTTGATATCTTTCAAAATCTTCAACCACTTTTTCAGGCATAGTTTCAGTGTTTTCAGCAACTTTAAACTTTTTGAAAAAATTTATTTTTCAGTGTGGTCATCAGTTCTTTACTTGCAGTAGCACTATCATTGTTTTCTTCGTGGTTTTGTTTTGGTCTTGGTGGTTGTGCAATCAGTCAAAGTAATAAAGAAATGCCTCTTTTCGGTAGCTGAATTTAAGGCATAAAATGATAAAAAAATATCGTTTCGCTCATCTTCTGATATTTTCTTAGCACCTTAGTACTTTCAATTTGCCAGACAGTTTTTTGTTTGAATGATGTTTTTTTGTACTTGTTTTTGTTACAGTATAATTTTTACCATCTTGGTATGCCTTTTTTTATTACATCCCCGGGTTTAGATAATCATTTTCACAAATTTTACTTTTTGGGGTAGGCACTGCAAAATATAGTTAGATCGATTTACCGTAAGGAAAGGGCGCAAATTATATTTACATTGACTGCAGTAAGTTTTTAAATTTATCAATGCAAAAGCATCAATATTTTAAAATTAAATATATAATCTCATAAATATATAATCTCATAAAACATATAAGGTCATAAATCCCCTTTTATTTTAAATTATAATAGTTATTTCTATGCCTAAGGAAACCAGTATTTTGTTTCGCAACATTACAGGTGTCAATTTGAGTGAAGCTACAGAACGTTATAAAAAAGATTTTTTTAATATCAAATAATAACTTTAATGGTACTTTATTTTACATTGGTGGCAAATTAGAGCACTTATTTTGACTTTCAGACTTATTTTTTATATTATTTTTAATCGGCATAAAATTCTTTATCATAATAATTGATTAATAAAAACCAGCAAGAAGTTATTCAGTTATTCTTAGTTAGCACCTTGTCAAACTAAACATTAGTTAACTAAAGTTGCAGATAGAACTTTGGCACATTAACAGTTTGCTTGTTTTACGCTATATCTCTGTAAATTTCAGTTTATTTTGTTCACGATGATTTAAGTAGTCTAATAAAAGTCAATTTTAGCAAAAATGTAAGTTAGAACCTCGTCAAACCAACGACGTAATGTAATCCAATTTCTTGTTAATTTTTTTCATGTTGCTACGAAAGCATCATTCTTACCATGTATGTTATTTATGCAATTGAGTAATAATTCTATTATTACATCCCTACGGGCATTTGTTTTTAAAAGCTACGTTCTAAACGTCTTCTAAACGTTAAAAGTTTTTTAAACGTTCTTTACGTATGAATGTTTAGAAGATGTTTAAAAGACTTTTAAACTACATTTAGAACGTAATTTTTAAAAACAAATGCCCTATGGGATATTATTATATAAATTATTTCGTACATTATAACGTTTAAATAAGGCACTTAATATTATTCTTTACCACTGAACTGCCAGTGTATAAGTTAAAACCTACTCTATTGCATAAACAACATAAATGCTAACGATGATGCGAAGCATTACTGTTAATAATAAAGAGTTTTTTTTTTTAATTATTTTAATGCTTTAAGATGTACCATTTTGCAACCACAATTTAACAGTAAATTTTTTTGTAAATAATAAAAATTTCAATTAATTTTCATAGGCCGGTATTACTGCTTTAGAGTATGATGTAAAACACAATATAAATTATTGTTTTCGGCTGTAAATTATTGTTTTAGAGTTGAAAAATATTTTAAATTAACAAATATAAATAGATTGCTAACTTTAATACAAAATTGAAAATGTAATTTTAATCCTAAATTTTGCCAAAATATTTTTGACATTAGTTTTTTTCAATATTTTAGGATCAGATCTACATTTTATTTTATAAGACTATATAATATAGTGTTATGCTACATGATATAGAATTTATTAGATATCAATTGTAAGCATGGATGCGTAGTCCCAAAAATAATTTAAGTTTTATATCTCTTTTTTTCCAGGTCTATAGTGTTCAATTGCTCTATACATTTTTGTTGATTTATGATCTGCTATGAGAAAAAAATTCATAAAATTTAGTAACTTCGAACTTGTTTTTAAGCTTAGAGTCCAAGAGTCCTAACCGTCATAGTTAGTAAAGACTCTGCGTTCAAAAAATTAAAGTTCCTCTTACCTAAAAATCAGTATTCCATAAACATTTTTATACTTTTAGAGCTCCTGGATACCAAAGGTTATGAAGAACTAATCTTGTTGCTACTTTTAAATATGGCAACCTATTTGAGTCTCAGCATCCCTGATTGTAAATATATATTATAATATCAATAACAAAATGAAAATTAACTTTTTGCAAGTATTAGTAACTATAGCAAGTAACTAATGCAAAAAATTCATTGTACATAAAATTGTTTGAATATATACAATAAATAAATGCTCTCCATCTAAAATTGGTATATATAATAGATAATATATTTGTAAGCAATCTAAAATTGGTATATATAATAGATAATATATTTGTAGCAAGTTACAATTACTTAAAAAAAGAAACTTTATTAATATATATTACAATATAATATTACAATGCTTTTCTTACTGAAGGATTGAGAATAACATTGCAATATTAATTTTTTTTTTTAAAGTAAAAAAGAATGAATGAAAATTTTATAGGTTGAATTGTATGACAGTAAGAAGTTGCTATGAATATGAAAAAGTTTTTTTTAATATTTTATTTTACTTGAATCAAATAAAACTAACTTTTATCTAATCATTATAACTTAATAAAGTTTATTTCATGTTTAATACTAAATAACCAAAACCTGATTTAAGAATTTTCAGTTGAGAATTATCAAATAAAGCATGTACTTGAAATAAGTGCGAAAGTAGAAATAAAAAAACTAAAAAAAGGTACTCATTGATTTTATTGGTAACTAAGTATAAATTTTAATACATTAATATAAGAAGATAAAAAATTTCAAAAAGTTTATTTCTGTGGGTATGTATTTAAATTTCAAACTTTTGTTTTGGTGGTACCCATAAGTTTGTGCACAGAACAACAATCAAAACTATTTGATGTTTTTTAAATGGCATTTTCAAATCTTTTACTTTTTTTTAAATTTTTAAAATTTCTGCATAGCTTTTTTTTTTTTTTTTTTTATTTGTCTAATAACTATCCAGTACTTAGCAGTAAGTTTTAATACTTAACAGTTTAGAGGATTAGCTATTTTAGAAAACTTTCAGGTCTTCTTTTTTTATACCATCTCATAGCTAGTTTACTATAATGATTTGATGATAAATAAGATCAGAACACACACGTTTACTGCTATCTGATTTAGTAGGAAATAAAAGATGTTTTTGTTAACACTCTTTAACATATGATTTACTAAAAAGTGTAGATTCAGAAATATAGAGTGATGATTTTTTGCCATACCTGAAAATAGCTTGCCAAATCTAAGCTTTTTTAACAAACTTATAATTTTGTGTGTATTTAAATTTCTTATCTGCTTTTCCTCTATATTTGGAATTATAATAAACAGCACGATGAATTTGCTGATGATCATACTTCATATTAGTTTCATTATCTTCAATAATTCAGAAATTACTAAAAATATAGTTGTCATACAATTTTCTTCAGTGGGTTCTTGTTGTTTTTTTTGAACTTCAGAACTGTTAGGCACTTTTTGTGATTTAAAAGTTTGAAAAAAATGTTTATATCAAGTTTTTACAATAAAACAATTAGAAAATCTTTTTATTTTTGTTCGTATTCTAAGTGAGAAGGTTTAATTATTCAAGAAAACTGTGAATCAATTTTCTAAATAGTTTTATATCTTCAAAAACCTCCTTTCCTCCATTACCAGATTTGCGTTTTTTTAATTTTGTTTAGGAAAAACGTTAAACAACATGACAAACGATGTAGAAATGTATTTGAAACTTTTTTGCTACTGAATTGTAGCTAAATTCAGATTTTTCATAAAACTTGTGCGAAATATTATTTTTAACGTCTTCTTTATTTGTCATTTTTAAAACTTATTTTAAGTTAGATGTGAAAACTAAAATCTTTTTTTGAAATCATTACATGTTGCCAACAAAATCCAAACACAATGAAAAATATATTAACATAGCCACTGAAAAAAAAAGACGCATTTACTCTTTCACATTTATTTCGTATACAGACAAAATTGCAAAAAAAATATGTAATATTAATTTTAAATGTATTTAATACTAGCAATTTTTTACAAATAACATCATTTTTCAACACAAGGACCAAAAAGGTTTTATACATTTATTCCCAAATTAAAATAAGTCTCTATGAAAGTTTAGATGAATATTTTTGAATTATTCTTTAAGTAATAGATTTATAAAAACAGATTTTTAAACATCATTATAGAAGCATTTAAACTTCCGTTCAATTGGTTTGGATTACTTTTTAATCATTTGGACATTTGAATTATAATGTATGAGGCATTTAAGATATATAAAGTACGTAGTAATTTCCTCCTTTATCTTATGTGGAATTTACGTTATGAAAAACATGTGGGACAAAATAATAATCCTCACATTACGAATTACATGAGGGAAAAAAGTGCGCGCGTTACTCATAGAATTTGCCTTATATAACTCTTTAGGGATTCACCATCAGTATTGCATCTCGGATTTAACATATGAAACCCTCGAGAAACATAATAATAATCCTCACATGAATTACAGGCGGAAAAAAGCGTATATCGTGTATGATTTTTCACTCGGTTTTAGTTTTTATATATGGTTGAGTTCAACGCAATATAATCTTGTACTTACAAATAATAATAAATGATAAAAATGTAACTTACTGTTTAATAACTTGAGTAGTTTGTTTTTACAATCAAATTCATTTTTGATGTTACTACTTTCACTACGAGTCTCATTCAACATTTGGTACGTTAACGTCCATTCGGAAGCATCATAAAAAAAGCTTTTACAATCAAGTTCGTCAGTTGAAAAGAAGTTTTTATATTCCTGTTTTGAATTAATTTCTGTGGCTGTAGACGGTGCATATGAATTTAGATAAAACAACACACTTGGTAAATGAATTATCTTATACTGTTCCAATAGATAGTCCCCCAAAAAAAAAAGAAAACATAACACTAACTTAATTATTAATTTAATGTTCGTCTTCATCGATTACAAAGCTATAAAATTAAAAACTTTAAAAAATACCAAATGCAAAAAAATACTACTAGATGTAAAATTGTTTTAGTTTGATTTTAATTTGCTAACAAAGAGATCTAGTTTTCTTAGGGTAAAAAGAAAGAAGCAAACTTAAAATTCGAAGACGAACTTCAAATCTGAAATTTGACTTCAGCAAAAAGCGAACTTAAAGTCAAATTATACTATGTTAGACTAAAAAATGAGAAAGCGAAAATCAATGCCTAATGCATAAGCCGAACTTCAAATTTCAAGTTATACAAAGACCATGTGTAAGTAACATAAAGTTTTCACCTCACAAATCATACTAACTTTTTTTTTTGATGAACGAATAATAATAAAAAATTCTAAAAATAATCATAAAAGCACAAATAATCATAAAAATAATCATAAAGCACAAAACCTGCAAGTTTTGCAAGTTTTTATAAAAGTTGCATCAATCATGTCTTTTCAGAGATAAGCGTTGCAAAGTAAAATAGCTTCACTAAGTCATAATAAAACTAGGTATTTGTTATCCAACAAAATAAACATTCCGAAAAATAGATTTGCGTTGCATAGCAAACAAAACTATAAAATAATTTTTTTGTTTGTTTGTTTGTTCTTTTCATTGCATTTTAAATAAGCATTTCATTACAATGCTTAAAAAATAAATATATAATAAACAAATAAACAAATATATATATATATATATATATATATTTATATATATATATATATATATATATATATATATATATATATATATATATATATATTTATTGTTATATATATAAATATATATAACTATAGATTGTTATATATATATTTATATATATAACAATCGCTATCAAAAAAAAAAAGAACGTGGAAAGAAAATACTTTGTTTATTAAATATGTCTATTTAATAAACAAAACAATATATATATACATATATATATATATATATATATATATATATATATATATATATATATATATATATATATATATATATATATATATATATATATATATATATATATATATATATATATACATATATTTATATATATTTATATATATATATATATATATATATATATATACATATATTTATATATATTTATATATATATATATATATATATATATATATATATATATATAAATATATATATATATATATATATATATATATATATATATATATATATATATATATATATATATATTATATATATATATAAATATATATATATATATATATATATACATATATATATATATATATATATATATATATATATATATATATATATATATATATATATATATATAATATTTTTGCATAAAATGTCCTCGTAAGTGTTACTGTAGTTATATATATATATATATATATATATATATATATATATATATATATATATATATATATATATATATATATATATATACATATATTTATATATATTTATATATATATATATATATATATATATATACATATATTTATATATATTTATATATATATATATATATATATATATATATATATATATATAAATATATATATATATATATATATATATATATATATATATATATATATATATATATATATATATATATATATATATAAATAAATATATATATATATATATATACACATATATATATATATATATATATATATATATATATATATATATATATATATATATATATATATATATAATATTTTTGCATAAAATGTCCTCGTAAGTGTTACTGTAGTTATATATATATATATATATATATATATATATATATATATATATATATATATATATATATATATATATATATATATATATATATATATATATATATATATATATATATATATATATATATATATATAAATATATATATATATATATATATATATATATATATATATATATATATATATATATATATATATAAATATATATATATATATATATATATATATATATATATATATATATATATATATATATATATATACATATATATATATATATTTATATATATATATATATATATATATATATATATATATATATATATATATATATATATATATTTATATATATATATATATATATATATATATAAATATATATATATATATATATATATATATATATATATATATATATATACATATGTATATGTATATAACGAATAATAGGGGAAAGGCGCCTATGATGACATACTTAATTTTGAAGCTTCATAATTCAGTATCTTAATAACCAAGAACAAAAGATTTGATATTGATACATTGTTTGTTACATGTAGAACAATAATAACCCTAGGAGTTTTCATCAGTTTTATTTTTATTTAAGTTACTTTTATTTTAAAAAAAGCACAAGTATGCCATTATAGGCAGCTACTGCTCCTATGATGGCATAGGGGAAGATGGGACTTGATAGCATCAAATATAACTTGACGATTTTATTTGACCTAAGAGTCTTCCCTCAGAAATGCCAGAAATTACGCGCAACCATCCTAATCAACTCTTGCGTGCTACACAGCAGTAGTAGTCTATAATTTAGCAGTCTATAATTTAGCGCAGTCTATAATTTAGCAGTCTATAATTTAGCGCAGTTTAACACAGCAGCAGTCTATAAATTAGCGCATGTGCATAAGAGATATTGCGTTTTATGTGTTTATTGAAGTATATATTGAAGAAAAAATTACTTTTTACGTTGTTTTTATGAAAAAAAAGTTTTTCTCCACTCGTAAATATTGCAATATACCTAACTCCTTAGTATGCCATCATAGGAAGATGTCATCATTTTCAATTAAACAAGCTATGTTTAAAAGATTTGCCTTGTTTAAAAGATTAAATTAAAATAAGTTTTCCACTTAATGCACAAAACTTGGAAATAAAATGCATGCAAATTTTATTTCTGCACAGTTAATAATAAAACTACTGTATTAAATATATAAAAATACAATAGCATATCCAAAAATTGATTTTTTTGATTATAAAAGCAGTATTTGTGCATAAGGAACGTATTTTTACTAAAACTAATGTAAAGTCAGCAAAGACAAGTTGATCTAATCACTTTTTTGCCATAACCAATATTTATGAAAATGTGAATAATGAAAAACATCAAATAAACAATAGAAAAGAAAATAATGAAATACATAATTGGTAGTTTAGTTAGGTATAATTTTTCTTTTTAGTTATTAAAAAAAGAATTTGCGGTCTTATTACAGAGCACCGCAAAGAGTATAGAATAATCAATCAGTTAGTCATGATGATATTTATTACAATGTTATTATCGACTCGCACGAAGTCATTAAACATATTCACTTCAAGTTTTACAAAGTTCAATAGAACAGGGTATTTTTCCTTACATTCTAAAAATAGCCAGAATTTGACTAACATTTAAAGGAGGTGATTCAACCAATGTTTCGAATTATCGCACAACCTCAATTTGGCCTGTTTTTTTTTTTAAATTTTAGAAATAATTTTATATAATGTACTTTTCAATCATTTATCTTCAAACAATATACTGTATCAAAATAAATACAGATTTAAAAAAAGTCAACCGAACACGGTATACTCCAAATCAACCGCAACATTGCTGAATCTTTTGAAAAATGTCAATATGCGTCAGGTATCTTATAACACTAGAACAACATTATTCCAAAATATAAACGTTGAATTAACAAAATTTTCTGGCTGGTTTAAATTTAATAAACTGTTGAGGAAAATAAATGAATAGTTTTTTATTAAACTTAAAAAAAAAAGCTACTCCTGTCATGCACTTACTTTTTATTGACAAAATTTAAATAAAAAGAGAACTAGCTACTAATTTTTTAGGAATCCTCCTGGCTTTTTACATTACTCTTATATTTATAGGAGTAATGTATAAAAGCTAGGAGTGCAGAGTGGGCCAGGTGGTGGGTATAAGTAAAAAAAAACATACTCAAAAATGACATTCTTATACACAATTTTAAAGTGTAAACGTCCATCTTTTATAAAATATAAATATTTTGATATAATTATCATGCGGTTTGCATTTTAAACTGTTATTACCCAGCAGGCACAATGACGTTGAAATAACGTTGAAACAACGTCGTAAACCGACCATACGCCACGTTAAAACAACGTTGAAATGTGGTGGAATTGGAAACAAAATCCGACGTTGAAAACTACGACATTGAAGCAAATTCGATGATTAAGTTGTTTAAACGTTGTTCTAACGTCTTATCAACTACATATCAACTATATTTCAACTTTGAATAGGTGATATTTGGTTGATACGTAGTTGATACGACGTTAGAACACCGTCGAAACAACGTAAGTTCAACGTTGATTTTTGTTTTTTATTATAGTTAAAATCCAATTAACTAAAAAACTATTTGAACTTTAATTGCAATAAAATAACACAATAAAAAAGCAATAATTTGCGCAGATGATATTATATTTCACGTAAATTAATCAGATACAACTAAATTGCTTCAAGGGACTTTATATAAAATGCAAATAAAATGTTTGAAAAAAAAAAGTTTTATTTAACAATAGTTTCAGAACAATTAGGAAAACGTATGAATGTTGTTTTGTATCGACCATCACCATTCGATCTGTCGAGTGCATATTTTATTAAAGTCCTTATTCCTTTTCTTATTTCGGCAACTGTAGCAGTCACTTTATTTGACATGACGCTCTCTATAAAAAAAGGTATTGCCTAAGTAATTTGAATTAAATACATAAAAAAGTTAAAAATAAAACAGCATCAAAACAATGAACTTTGGTTTTTAAAAATATATAATTTTACACTTGACTTACCAATAACAACCTCACAAATATTTGTTCCTTCAAACTTCTCATTATTCTTACCGTCGGCCATATTAAATTTTGATTATAAAACATAAAAAAAATATAAAAAAAAAAAATTCTAATCAGAAATAAAAAAAAAAGATTTATTTTATGTCTGATTAGAATTCGTCAAACTTTTAGAAATATAGACTAAACATTTTTTTA